GCTAGGTATAATTCATAATTAGTCACATTCCCTAGTTTCAGTCCATGCGTGATTAGATTAGGTCTTAATTCATGGGAGCTCCTGTCCCAGGTCTTAATAATAAGGCCATGTATATTTTTCGCCCGACTCGTATCAAGTTTACTTTCTCGCACTTCACTTTCGTCGTCTTTACTTCAGTGCCGTATATTGTTTTGATGTGTGGCTTTCATTATCGTGACTTGATTTGATTTTTATCTCTTATGTTTGATTGAGTTGTGCTTTTGCAAATAACCATGCACGAATATTTAGTAGGATGCACTTTGGGTATTAATATGAACAAGACCGTACGATTTATGTCTTCCAAAATAAAATGAGTTTGGATATCGAAAGAGTGTTAACTGAATGTTAACGCAACCAAATCCCTGACCCTAAATCTCTTGTTTGGATATCAATGTTGTGCGTGGTTAGGGTTTTGGAGAACTCGCACCGGTTGAGAGTGAGCACCTCGATTAAAGTGATTGCACGTTCCTGTTCGACAAGCCGCTAAACTCGCTCGCCTCGCTTGGGAGGATCGCGACACATATAAATCTACAATAAATATATTATCTGTAACAGTTCGTTTTTAGAGCCTTGATTATTAAATTTACCCAATTCGTTTCCCTTGATTAACATCACACAGAGTGGAGATACCTATTGGGCAAAACAAACCTAGTTGAAGAGCATAAACAGATTGCTGATGGCAAACAAAATAAAGCCCTCTTAAAATTATATATAGCAAAGGCATGAAGTCTAGACATGGACACGGTTCGGAACCGGCCGGTTCCGGTTCGTGGCCATGTATGAACCGGCGGTTTCGGGTAGGTTCTGGTTCCGGCCCGGTTCGGAACCGGCCGGTAAAAATTAAAAAAATAAATTATGAAATAAAAAAATAATGAATTATTCAATATAAAATGTAATCAAAATGTACATTGTAATCAAATTTGGAGAAAAAAAGAGTTTTTCCACTTATCTGCATTTTTTTTTTGGAACCGGGCCCGGAACCGGCAGTTCCGGGCCGGTTCCGAACCGCGGGCCCGGTCAACGGGCTGGTCCCGGGTTTGACCCGGGCCAGTTCCGGGTCGAAACCGGCCCGTGGCCATGTCTAATGAAGTCGTAGACTTTTAGTAGAAGTTCTTTGAAAACGACGATAACATTAGAAGCAATCTAAGAACGAAAATGTCAACAAATACCGTGATTGATTGACCGGACTTGATCGACCTAATAAGCATGGAGTGCAAACTCAAAGGAAGAACAGCACACCAAGTTACGACGAACACTCATAATTACAGACGGATCACAAATTCTGAGAGTCTAACCTGAAAGCCACTTGCCAAGCTATAGCCAATGAAAATCATCCAAGTATGACCAGTCTTCGAATCAATCGTTTCTTCGCTTGGGTACATCTTATTTGCTTCAAACGTCTGCAGAAAGATTTCTCAATTACTTCTGGCTTGACTGATCACGAACCCTGTTGGACATTTCCTGGACTTTCCATTGCTCGTACGAGCTGACTAGGCCTCCATGCGAAGGATCTACTAACTTTGAGCAGTTGAAAATGGTTATGCAGCACCTGTCTCGTACTTTCGAGTTGAAGACATGAGCGAAACTTTCCAACGATCTGCAATGGTTAAAATCCAATCTTTTGAGAGTTTCTAGTTCATCCAGGCCCTTAACCGCCGGAAGCTCTTCGCATCCTCGAATTGCCAAGTACTCCAGCTTTTTCAAATCCGATAGATCATCTAGACTTTTAATCTTAGGACATTCTTTTAACTTTATGATTACTCAAACGTCGAACCTGAATTGTTTATGGGTAGATTGCACTGTTGTGGATTCTGTGACTCACAATATACTTGAGAAAAGCTGACAAGTTTGATTCTGTAAAGAGCTGGGGCTTTAAAATTTGTATCTGTTGTTACAATTTAGCGGAACATTTGAGTAATCATAAAGTGCCTTTGCTTTATATCCTTGTCAATGTGGTGTTCAGTGACGATGGTCTGGTTAAACAATCTGAATTACATGAAAACTGGAGCATCAACTTACAAGTTGCATTAAAGCACATTAAAGCAAGTTCCCTGAAGGCTGTGTATCTCTCCTTTTTGAGTTAAAGAAGACTGTATATGTGACGTTTTACTCATCCACTACGTTATGAAGTTGGCCTTTGTGTGGACATTATATAGCTAGATATTAGGATCAGAAATAAGAGCTGCTCTTCCGCCCTAACACTTAACCATGCGGCAGTCGAGTCTCTGGATAATAATCTTCAGTTACGTTGGGAATTACTTCTGGATGCACTACTTCTTCACAGTTTTGGGAGCTTCTGATACATTTCCATCGTGGAAAATGGATTATGTGAGCCATAAATTTGAGACATTGACTAGTTATGCTTTTCTTAATCATCTGTCTGTTTCTGATCATGTGGTCTGGTTGACTTTTTTGTGCAGGTACCGCATACTAGTTTCCTCCTGACTCATGTTTGCTTTTTATTTTACCATGTTACGTCAAACATGACCCTCAGCAGGCTAAGGCATGCTATTGCTGACTTGCCTGAAAAAATACAGTGGGTTACTGAGGCGGCATGGATTCTGGTTCTTTCCTATTTCATAGCATACCTGGAGAATGTAGCTATTTCTAATGTATGTCCAGACCAATTGTTCTACTATCCATTATAACTATAACCAACTTTTTTTTTTATATAGATGGCATGCTGATTTTATTGCCTGTTTGAACTGGAGTGGTGCATATTTGTCAATGCATTGTCTCCAAGATTGCTTATTCTGGCCATTCTCCTTTATCCACAGCCTTATCATGAAAAGAATCAGTTAATTTGACAAGACATATTCAGTCAATCTTGAAATGAAATTTCGTTAGATTAAGAATATCAATTGTTATCTGTTTTGTAATATCCCCGGTGAATGCTGATTCTTTTCCTCTTCAACGTATATTCCTCAGCATGTTTCTGTAGTTTCAGTAATGAGAATGGCAGTTCAACATCTTTTCTGCCTGCCATGTCACGTCACATTTTTTTGCAAGCTTTCGACTTTGCATGGAGCATTTCTCGTGAAATCTGTTCTTTCTTTTTATGCCAGGCAGGTCTTTGCTGTGAAACAAACCCAAGACATTTTACATTGCTATTGTCGCTATTTCATTTAGTTAATTACAGATGCTTAAATAGTCATATTATATGTAGGGATTATGCAAACCTAATTCTTTTCATTCAATGTTTGCAGTTTCCTTATTATGAATTTGTAGACCGGGCGTCATGTATAAAGTGGGGTCCTTGTTTTATGCCATATACTTCATTGTGAGCTTTCCAACGTTTCTGAGGTGAGAACTTTATGTGCCCAACACCTATTTTATGGGTTCTTATCCTCTCTGTTTCAAAAAATACACGATTCAGCAGTAACACGCGCACATCACGGCTGTGCAATCATTTGGAGTGATATGGATGTACTTGTCCTAGAATGAATTTAAATTGTAACTGAGAGAATTATAGGTTCCAGCTTGTATAAATGCACGGTCTGTAGTTTATCAATTCGGACAGTGATTTCATTGATAAATAACTACATTGATCAGTATCGCGTTTTCATAATAGTGAAACCATATGCTAGAATGAAGGCAATGGAAAAATGTAGATGCAATCATCTAAACAGATGAAAACATTATCTGGTTAACGAGCCATAAATTCTGGCAAGGTTGATCTGCATTGTACGCACCATTTTCTTCATGTTCTCTGGCATGTATTCAATTATGTGGTTGCTTTTCATACATTATGTTTCATATATCCAAATTAAAAGGAATAATGCTTCTGCTCATTAGAAAACTACAGTTGCACCCTTTTTTCCCTTTTTTTCTTTTTGCTATGAAGTGGAAGAATTGGAGAATATGGAAGAGGATATGGAAGTCATAGCTTTGTCTTTTCTAGTCAAACGTTTTGTACTTGGTCAATCATTGGAGCTCATGCAACATTGTCAGCTGAAAATGAACTTGTGCCTGCAGGATTGATGAGAAGCCAGGCAGTTCTTGGGACCTGCCAAGAGTAGCTGTTGATGCTTTGGGTGCAGCCATGCTGGTGACAATCATACTTGACTTGTGGTGTATTTTCCTCGGACCAATTGTCCCAGTTCCTGGCTCGAAACAATGCATTCAGCCAGGACTTCCATGGTTTCCTGGACATTCCGTGGAAGCTTGACATCTCACTATACTAAAACGGGAGCTTGGGTTTTTGTTCCCAATTCCATAAAGGCTGTAAGTTTTGGGGTATTCCCTGTTGGGGAAAGATGTAACCACAACCGTGCCAAAAGACTTGTATTGTACTAGTTGTAGTGCTTAGGCAACCGAGTTGAGAGATGATTTTGGAATGTAAGATTCTGATGGCTATGGTGGGTTCATAACCACCTAAAAGCTTGAATAGAATACCAAGCAGGCCAGGCGGATGGAGACAGTGATTTGCTTTTCAAGATCATGATATGTGATGATTCTTGTTTTCTTCTACAAAATAAACGCACATTTCTATTGTTTCAAGTGCGCAAGCGTAGGGGTGCTTTTATGTGTGTGTGTGTGAGTGAGAGAGAGAGAGAGAGAGAGAGAGAGAGAGATCTTATCTGACCACTATTAACATAGTGACAGTAAGGACGTCACCTAAAAGAGATGAACAAAAGTTCAATTTATATGAGAATCAGTAAATCGTAAGAGCAGAATAGAAAGCAAAAGAGGACAGATATGATGTGGAGCCAAATTAAAAGCTATTGAAGGCTTTCCTCTCTCTCTCTCTCTCTCTCTCTCTCTCTCTCTCTCTCTCTCCTTTATACCAACAATCCAAGAAAAATGGAAAAAGAAAACTTAGCAAGAAAACATTACAAGGAGAAACTAAAACAAGGAGCTTCCCAGGTTACAAAAACAAAATGGATTACATACGCGGCAGCTTTTAGGAGGACGAGCAGCGGGTCAAAAATTGTAATTATGAATTAGTGAACAATAATACTTCACATGAAATAGCTGAGTGCCTTCTTTCTTCTTGAACCGCCTTCACCGTAGAGTTCATTCCACTGCAGAAGCTCGGTCATGTTAACAAACTCGGATGATACGCTCGCACATACTTGTTTCCATGTTAATAACACAGATACGAAATCAATTGAAGCTGCACCAACAATACGGAAAATGAAATGCTACTAAGTTGTAAAATAGCTATAGGTTTGTGGACGATCACGCTATGGTGAGAAAAAAAGTGCCGTTTTTGAATAGTTTTACCCATTCATGTGCATATTTGAAATCTTCCATATTAAGAGACCGTATATCAGCACTCCCTCTCAAAGCTGGAGCAGGTTTGCCTTCTGCTAGAGCTGCAGCGCGTTCCTGCCATGAGTTGCACATATTATCAGCCATAATCAAAGTACGAGTAAAGTAGCCATATCAAATTACGAGAAGATGTGGACCTTTTTCTCCTTTTCCAATATCTCTTTGATTGGCCTGTGCGCTGCAGTTACACATAAATTCTGCAATAAGACAGTAATAGGTGAGACTGAATTCTCCACTAGTGAACAGTGTGAGTTAAGATTCTACGGTGTCACATTTAGGTCACTTCCTGAGTAACCATATGTCATGCTTGCAATTCCGTCCAAGTCGACATCTGCAGATAAGTCTTCCTTTGCCAGTATAACTTTCAAAATTTTTGCTCTATTTGGAGCATCTGGAAGATTTACCATCAATCAGTAGTAAAGACGAAACTTAGCATCTGCTTTTGGGATATATGAAGGCCCACTTAGAAAGGAAAGAGGATGTGAAGGAAAGCAAGAATTGCGATACATATGTCCGTGAAAAAAAAGTCATGGTAACACTCACCGGCGAGGCAGCCTACGGATGACTGCCTCATCCAGGTCGAAAGGTCTGTTTGTGGCTGCAAGTACCAGTACTCATTCTGTATCTTTAGTCCGTAAGCCATCCCAGTTGACCATAAATTCATTTTTCATCTTGCGCATGGCCTCATGCTCCCCTGGGTTCTCCCTCCGGCCCAACATACTATCAACCTAGGTAACCACCAAAACACTATGAGAAGTACAACAACTAGGAACCTAAACTAACAAAAAGAAAGAATAGAGAAACTGACTTCGTCAACAAATACAACACTGGGGGCAATTTTACTGGCAAGTGAGAAAACAGCTTTCACATACTTCTCGCCCTCACCAAACCACTGCAAAGAAAGAAGAATTGGACATACAGCAGTACGACGTTAAATCTCCGCAAATTTCAAATGATCACAAGAGATCGGCCCCAATATTGACATTGGATGTGATACTTGACATGGAAATGTTGATAAAATTTGCACCAGCTTCAGTAGCCACAGCCTTCGCAAGCATAGTCTTGCCTGTTCCAGGGGGACCAAACAGAAGAATGCCCTTGCAAGGCTGGACAAGAAAGGTAACAGTGAGACTAAGAGCAATCTCCACCATGAAAGAATTACAGAAATAACTTGTATTACAGAGGCATTTAAAAGAGTGCTTATATCATCAGACAGAAAGGTTTTCAAGCATGAACTTGAGACAATTACTAGAAAAAAAAAATAGAGAAAAACCAGAACCACTTTAACAGGCAGCTCATTAAACCAATTTCTGCTTTTTGTTCTTTCAAGAAGCCTAAACCGTCTGCATTTTTTTACTTTAGATAATTCTTTGACACATGGCCAGTGTCGTTTCAAGTCTACTTGTATTTCCACACTGGTCTCTTTTTCACGTGTTCTCATATTTCTACACGGCTGCATTCTTAGGTGTACCTACTACTTGAAATGAGCCTCTTTTAGTTCTTTTTGGAACAATGACACCAGCATTTCTTGAAGAACACTCAGCTTCTTTTGGCTAAGGAAAGCCACCTAAAGCACACTAAGTTCTTTGTGGCGTTCAGCAAGGCCAGGATCACCATCAACACCCTGTCCCATCTCCACCCCATGCACCATCTCTACCAATTTGCCCCAGTTTTGCTATTCGCAAAAAAGATAAATCTAACACAAACGAAAGATCTTGATCAAGATTATCTCAACTCAAATTTCAGTTTAAAGGTTATCCTTCTCGAGAAGGTTAACTTAGTAATAACAGTATAAATCTAAAAAAAAACCCGTGTTGCCAAATTTTCTAATATTGAACAAAATTTTAAGCTGATAGGCATTCTTGAGATGAGTGATCAACTAGTAATAATAAGAGGAGTACAAACGATGAGGGATAACTTAATTAGTCTAAAAGAAAAGAAAACAAAGAAAGCCTAAGTAATGCAGGGTGAGATGTGGCAGGGGTGGGCCGGACTGCGGCCGCGCCAGGCAGGGCAGCCAATCAGGATGGGTGGTTGCCACATGAATACATACTGAACGTCACCTTGCTAGCTGATTGTTATCAGGTGCCTAGCTACCTCAACTGTCTATTAACCATGTTGAATCCTGCATCAAAGAACTTCTTGCCAGCAGATCAACTTTTCTAGATATTTGTGCAGGCTTTATAGCCTCAGAAAATAGAAAACCAGAAATTTTCTGCACATTGTATAGTAGCCTCATAACAAAACACCTATAAATTTCTATAAAAAAAGACAAGATTAAACCAGGAAAGTTAGTACATATATTATGGCCAATATACATGGACATATCAAACTCATTAACAGAACACAATTACAAATGAAAAGTAATGCTAGAGCTCCAAAAAGCATGTGCAAGAACCAATTAATTCGTTATTACGACCAAACTTCAAGTGGAGCAAATTGAGTGCTCATAGAGAAAAGCAGAACCTTCGTTAATTGCCCTTTGCAGAAAAGTTCAGGCCTCTGTAGAGGAAGCCTGACTAGCTCCTTCAATGTATCTTTGACATTTTCAAGAACTCTGATGTCATCAAATGTGTCACTTGGGGGAATGACATCAGCAAGAAGCCTTTTCTCAAATTCATTTTCAGTTACAACATCCTGTACAGAAAAAAAAACTGACCCACAGCCAGACAATTTGTGATTCTTAACACAGGTATTCCTGCTACACAAAATTTAGTAGCCAAATAAATATGATAACCTTGAGTGACTTTTTCAAGCTCTTAGACTCGTTCTGAATAGCCTGCAAGATCCCAATGCCATACTGGATGCTGCCAAACATTTCAAAATGGTTTTGCTAATTTTAACCCAAAGATTGCAGCCGATAAAACATGCATCCTGACAGAGAAAGGAACGATTCCTTACCTCTCGCTGCACAGACCAAGCCCTGAATCAGCATTAGATTCAGGATTCTGCATTAAATGATGGCTTAGAGCCCATCCAATGACCCTTTCTGCACCTGCCAATATAAAATTAAATTTTAACACCATGTCAAGGAAACATAGTGAGCAACCTCACTTAAATGGATCAATGGTAATGTACATACTCTCAGTGGTAAGTGTTTGGTCCTTGATGCATATCGTATAAAGTCCTTCACATTCCATTCTGCATCGACCAAGAACCTGCACATAAGGATAAAAAACTATGACATTGTCTCCTCTGCTGCATAAGACTGCCAAACTTAATCGATTTTTGATCGGACAGACTAATCGCTATTCAATAAGCACTCGAAGGTTACCAAATAATAATCGATTTTTGAGGCCACAGTCCTCAAAATGGAGTACCTCAAAGTCCTCTAGTGATATGAATACACAAGTAAGCATAAAATTCCCCACAACCATACTCTATTTCCTACGCTATTTTAGATCAGTAGCTCATCCGAAAGAAGCTTGCGTGACTCCACTTACATTCACCAACTAATATTGGATTGGATTGGAATTTGACTTAGGGATTAAAGTACAATAACAATATGTATGGTAGAGGGATTTCGAGGGAAGAGAAAGGATTTTAAATGCAAAACAGCGAACAGAGAAACAAGAGGCCTTTGAAGTACTGGCAAGAGAGAGAACACCAGAGGAGGTTGTGGTTGGCCAGCCAGTCGTAGAGGACGGGGACGAGGGACTTCCGCCGGGCGTACTTCTCGTCGACCGCGTGCTGCTGTTGCGACCTCTTCTCCTTGGTCACCGCCAACGATGACGACGAAGACTTGGCCGCCACCGCCGGCTGCGGCTGGTGGTGGTGGAGCTCCTCCTTTGGCTACGGCTTCGCCTTCCACCGTCGCTTCTTCGGGGCTTGCAGACGCAGAGCGTCGAGGCGGAGGCTAAGGCTAGGGCATGGCCGACGCAGAGGCGTCGGCAAGGGTTGGGCGGAGGTGTCGGCGTCGGAGGCGGTGTCGGAGGGAGCGCGAGTTCTCAGAGTGCAGAAGGCATCGGCATCGGAGGCGGCGCGTCTGGGAGGAGAGAGAGGTTGGGAGCACGAGAGCGTTGACGTCGGCGTCGGAGGCGTCGGCGTTGCAGGAGTTGGAGGGAGCGCAAGTTCTGAGCCGGGAGGAGAGAGAGGGGTTGGGGCGCGAGAGTGCCGAGAGAAGAGAGGAGAGAGAGGCGCTATATTTTCAAAATTGGAGGTGTCTGACCGGGTGGGCCCGGCGACACGTGTTGCATGCTGAGAGACTCATTTTTTGCCACGGTGGAATTCCAGTCGTACCTAATATTTTCTCGATGGATGTCAGATATTGAGGAAATTACAGTACTAGTCGTTGATGTTCTCAAGATTTCATTTCCGGTCCCCGCTATGCTTTTATTTTTGACAGACATAGGCAAATCCAGCTCATTTTTATATTTTGGGGAACTCCCACTTTGACTTTCTTTAATCTTAAGCAATTAAAACTTCCATATGAAAAAGTTGACATGTTCATTCACCTACATATTTATCGTAACTTTCTAAGATTTGAATAATATTTCAAGCTTTGGAGGAAAAGCAAAAAAGACGTTTTTACATTTTATTAGGCCAAACAAAAAGGCCCTGATCTTTTGGTTGTTTCCTAGTCTTTTTTTTTGTCTAACATATCTATAACTCTTCTCATTTTCTAACTTTTACTCTGTCTTTTTTTTTTTTTCATGCTTTTACTTGTATTAGTTTGGAAATGGAGCAGGTAACTTGTTTTCGCTTGATCAAGTACTGCCAAAATGTCCCTCTACTTTTGGTTCGAATATAATGAATCAGCTTTTCAAGACATTTTCAGCTAAGACTTGGCAAACAACCTATTTTAGACCCCGTTTGCGAGTGACTTCCCTCGTCCACAATTTAAAGATGGCAACCGAGTGAGTGATTTGAAATGTCCAATCTTCCTTTTCGTTCATAGCTTCTCAAACCTTCTACTCAAGGGGTATTTGAATTGATACACAACCTAATTCCCAATTTTAGCACCCTGATTATAAGCACGCGAGTTACAGAAGAGGAAGGAAATATTTTTTTTTTATAGGGGGCCCTTTCCACTTCCTCAGATAATGTTTTCACCAAATAATGAAATAGTGTCTCCTCTTTCCAATATACATCAACCCCAAAATGGCGTAACCAGTGGTGGGCTCCGCCCGCTGTAGAGTTGACTTTTGATGAACTTACAATGTGCTGTGAGCTTCGTTCTCAATGGAAATAAAAATATTGATGAAATTTGCAGTACTAGTCCTTGGTCTTTTCTGGATTTCCTTTTCAGTCTCCGCCTATGCTTTGATTTTTGGGTTTTTACCACAAAAAATTTCAACCCAATACACCCGTGCTCTATTTGTTCAAAACTAATTTTCGTCTTGCAAAGATCCCAAACTGGTAAACTCATGTCACCTTTACTCCAAACCAGTACAAGCGTAATAATTTTAACCCAATTTTGCCCTTGAAAAATTTATCACAAATGTACCAATTTGCGTTAAATGTGGCACTGTTGTACTAGTTTAGGAATTTTTGTGACACAAAAATTATTTTGGGGTAAATATTGCACTGGTGTACCAGTTTGAGATTTTTTTTTGTGATACGAAAATTAGTTTGGGGCAAATGTGACACGAATCTACCTATCACACCCCGCACCATAATCCCCTAGATTCGGGCGCACGACACCCCTCCAACATAGGTCATTTAATTACGACGTCCCAGGAGGCATCGCCGACCCATCGCGTTAATTAACGAGTAAGCACATGCGGAAGCAAATTCTAATATTACCCAACCAACATCACAACAGGGATAGCATAGGAAATACATTCACCATAAGCATGCTTTATATATATATAGCATCAAGACGATCGTATGTTAGCAAAATACAAACCCGTAACTACGGGCCTTTATCCGATTCGAACAAAAGGGGTCAGGATTATACCTATCTCTTCTATCTACGAGGGCCTCCTAAAAAGGACACGACTCCCTCATACTCGGGTATGCTATGGCTCCTCTACGGGGTCGTAGTCCAGGTTCGACTCCGAATCACTAATGAGACTGCTGGGGACATTCAACCCTGAAGCATCCCACGAAATTGCGCCAGGCGCACTCAGCGGTCCGTCAAAGCCTCGGAGAGGTCCCCAACGCTCCTCCCCTAACCACACATACCACACTTTGAAGTGATGAGGAACTAAGTTAGGAAGCCTCTCGTCAACCCAAATGGTGGTCGTGTACTCCTCGTATGTCGTGTCCGTCCCTGGTGCAACGTACTCAACTATCTTAATGTCTTGGTCCACCGGGACCCCAAAACGTACTATCTGTGTGTCCATACTAAGGGCCTGAAAAGAGGTGAACAACGATAAATGAGTAAATCTCAATAAGTGGAACCGCTAAACCTCGAGTAGGATGAAAACTTGCTTTGGAAAAACGAAGGGTAACTCATCAACTTCGCATGCCACAAAACCATCAATTAAACATTCATACTTCTAACCTTCCGACGGCACATCAAATTCACATAACTATTCAAATGTAAAGTTTTGCTTTCAATCGACATGCAACAATCATGCATATTAATCAAGAACATGTCATACCACATAATTCATGCACAATGCATCCACATGTGTTCCGATTATTACGACCGCTTAGGGCCACGACCAACACTCGCGTTGGTGGTCTTCCGGCGTAACCGAGCATCGTCCCGCCTCATCGGGCATGGCATCATCTTGACCTCACTCGAAGATGGCATTCAATTAAGAGCATCATTCCGACCTCCATTGCGAACGGCATCCGAAATCCATTGGGCATCGCCCCTCGCAATCATACCAGTACGGAACTATTTATGTGATCAAGCAAGCATATCAATCACTCAAGCTAATTATTTTCTTCCACATAGATCAATACAAGAGTGTTTCATGCTCACGCATTTAGAACATCTAAATTCTGCACACATAAAATGTACTAGAGTAATCGCGCGAGAAAGAAAATAGTGCATATATGAAATTGGGGTAAACTTGGGAAGATTGCATAGTAACCAAAATTCTTCCAAAATAAATAGTAAATGAACTCCAAAAATTATAAATTTTGGATATGTCATAGAAAACACCTTGATAAACATTTCTTATGAAGAACACAAACCCAGTTTAATCTGTAAACATGTTTTTTTGTCCCTCAAAGTCAGACCCAAATCAGCTCGTTCGAACAAACTACTCGGTCCTCAAAATACATCTCTTTCAGTACCTAAATCACCTTAAAAAGCTTCAAAATTTTTATATGTCATAGAAAGAAAATTCCTTAACAACTTTTGTGAAGGAAGCCTATTGAAAATAGATCTGGAAAAATTTATAAAAATTCGGAAAGACAAGAACATCAGAGAAACAGCATTCCGGGTAGCTTAAACATGGTTTGAAAATGGGCTTTCATACGACTCAAATAACCTCCAAAAATTCCAGATTTAAAATATGTTAAACATCAAGATATGAGGAACAACTTTTGTGAGGAACACCACTTCAGATTCAATCCACAAAGGTCTCTACAAAAATAGAAAATCTAAGAGGTGCAGTAATAACAAATCCGGGTTTCAAACCAAACTTAAAAAATTCAAGCTGTAGTCGATACTCACCAATCTTCAGCCCACAAAACTCATTCCACCAAGTCCAAATCATCATGCAATAGCCACTTGAACATCCATAAACACATATAAGGAATCAAGCTCAATCAAGCTAACCTAGGACCGATATGCATAGAATAACACCCTAGCCAAGGTTTAGAGGAACCACTTACTCAACTGTTGGAACTACGAGCGAAGATGTACAAATGGCGACAAAAAAAGAGTGACGACACGGCACGGTCAGCGGTAGTGACCGTTGAGCAGCTCGGCACGACGTGAACGGCGACAAGGCGACGAGCGGCGGGGTGGCGAGCGGATGAGTGGCGTGGCACGGTGGTGGTGCTGGTGGTGGCGAGCAGTGGTGGTGATGGTGGCCGGTGATGGTGGTGGTGTGAGTGAGGGAGAGGAAGAGAGAAAATGAGAAAAATGAGTGTTATCCTTGAGTGATCTTGAAAGGGAGGGAAGGGGGAGGGAGCGAGAGTCCAATAATGCACTTTCACTCAAATGCTCTAGGCTTAGGCTAGCCTAGCCGTTAAAAATATCTCCATCAACTCTCCCCCCCAAGGTAATCATACCTACTAGAATTAGGCACCTACAAGAGGCTTATGGGATAACAATTCTAGAGGCTTATGGGATAACAATTCTAGCGGCTTATGGCTTAACCAAGTGGGTCCTCATATCTTTTTCCCCCCAAAAGTGGCACCCAAGCCACTAGGATAAGACCAAAAGTTTGTCTTATCTCCATCAAGGCTTCTAGAAGTTGCACATAAATGAAAACAATAAGTTAATCAATCATAGGACACCAATCGAGCA